TTAAAACATCATGATCAACCGTATCAAAAGCTTTTGACAAATCAATAAAAAGTGATGCACAATGCTGCTTCTGATCACGAGCAACAAAGATGTCATTTATCACCTTCATTGCAGCTGTGATGGTACTATGTTTTTTTCTAAAACCTGACTGAACTGGGGATAAAATATCCTGTACATGCAGGAAGTCTGTCATCTGATTACTCACCAGGGCTTCAAGAGTTTTGGCCAAAACAGACAGATTAGAAATTGGCCTATAATTATTTAAATTTGACGGGTCACCCCCTTTCAATAATGGACAAACAAATGCAGATTTCCATACTTTGGGAATGGTGTTGCTCTCTAAAGTGAGATTAAAAAGGCACGTTAGAGGCTTTGCAACACAATCAGCAGCTATTTTTAAAAAGTAAGGCTCTATAAGATCAGGTCCTGGAGGTTTTTCAGGAACCAGCTTTTTCCAGGGCTTTGTAAACGTCAGCCACTAAAAATGGAGAGAAATTAAAGACATTTGTAGAGACTGGTACATCTCTACAAGGTGCCACAGTAGCAGGACCAGCAATGTCACACAAAGAACCAGACTGAATAAAATGCTCATTAAAATGGTTCAATATCTCCAGCTTATCATGAACAACTGCAGACTCTTTCATAATAAAAGAAGGAACATTAATACTATCTTTGTTTAGTGAAAGTGATTTTATAGCCTTCCAAAATTTTCTGGGATCATTTAAAGTGTCTGTAGTGGCTGACAGATAAAAGTCAGATTTTGATTTCTTAATAAAAGAAGAGCATTTATTTCTTAACTGCCTAAAAACAAGCCAATCAGACGAAGAGCCCGTTTTTCTTGCTTTGGCCCAAGCTAAATTGCGGTCATGAAGAATGTCTCCAAGCTCAGAGGAAAACCAGGGGTTGTCACGCCCCTTAACTCTTAATAAACGGGGATTAATAAAGTGTTCATTATTATTATCATTATTAAATGGGGCGTGTCTATCTATGACTTGCAAAAAACTGTCCCTGAAAAAGATCCAGGCTGACTCCACATCAGGAATCAGCTCTATTCTACTCCAGTCATGTGTGTTTGTTTGTTATCCAATCCAAGATGGCGGCATGTATGATCTGATGTGTGTTTGTCCCTTTGTCTATACTCATTTGTTTGCTTCTGTGCTCATATATGTGGATACTATGACTGAGCTTTTTGGTTTTTAAATGAAATAATTTTCAATGGATTATGGACTACTTTGCTACAGAAAAAATGATTAAATCTAAGGCTAGATGTCTATATCAGTAATCCATTTAGCTTAACCAGCTTAGCCTGGTTTCGAACATGGTGTACGTTATGGACAAACCATGCTTTGCACAGAAGTCCAATAACAGAACACCACTCGGGTTCAGATCAGGGAGGCCGTTCCTCACAATCATCCCCCTCCAGGTCACACTGTCATTGCCCACGTGAGCGTTGAAGTCCCCAAGCAAAACGATGGAATCCCTTCGTGGCGCGCTAACCATACCACTAAGGGAATCCAAGAAGACCGGGTACTCTGAATCGTCATTCGTCGCATAAGCACAGATGACAGTCAGAGACCTATTCCCGACCCGAAGGCACAGGGAGACAGCCCTCTCGTTCACCGGGGTAAACTCCGATGTTAATGCACTGAGCTGTGGGGCCACCAGTAGCCCCACCCCAGCCCGGCGTCACTCACCTGCCGCAACTCCAGAAGAAAAGAGCGTCCAGCCCCCAGGGTCACTGAGGCACGCAAACCCCTCAACCACGATAATTTTTGAAATACAAATTAAACATAAACTACAGTGCAAATTAAACTTAAAATAAATACACACATATATGAAAAAAAGAGAAAATACAATAAAAAAGTACTAGTATAATAAAATTATAAAAACTTTGACCTGAGGAACTACACCTCAGGAGACATGTTTATCACACTGTTTATGACAGTTTGCCTGTTTACTTTGAACATGAGGAAGAAAACCAGACATCTTCTGCTGCAGGGTCCAACGCACGGTAAATGAATCCATTGGACCACACAGTTTTCAGTCTCACATGCCCCCACGTCTCCGTTCTCTTCAGGTCCATGACACAGAAACCAGAGTTTTCGGTCTCTTTGACCGCTGCCCGGCCGTCCTTAAATTGTTTGCCCGTTTTTCTGTCAGAGGCAGAGTTTTATTGCTCGGTGACGCCGGGGGGATGTTCGACTGAAATGCTGCGCACCAAGTTCTGTGAAGGACACCGCCATGAACGATTGCAGAGTATGCACTTAGTGCAATTCGGGATAATTTACAACTTGCGGGTATGTGAATGGAGGTAGTGCGCCGGGGTCTGTAATACTTTCTTCTGTTGGCAAGTCATACGGGTATAAGTTGTTTATCGTTTTTAGTTTGTCCAAATACTGCTGCTCGGCATTGCGATTTAATTTCTTCCCTTCACCATCTCTTCTCCGGCAGATTCTAAAAACGTGCAAAACACTTTTAATCCGAACACAATTAGAACGTATGTAGTTAACCACCGTCGCGAGCGCAGGTAAACAAAATATTTGTCTTTACTAAATGACGCCCAGTCCCAGCTTGCAACGCGGTTAATATTTACACACTCATTAAATACTGGCGCATTCTTCTGTTGACTGGTTTAATTGGGAGGATTTAATTTTATTTTATTATTAGTTTTTTTTTGGACTGAGGTAGACATTAGACTCCTGATCCACACTCCTTACCAGTTGGTGGCGGTAATGCACCATTTTGTTGTTTGCCAACCACCAATTAAAACGCCAGAAGAAGAAGAATACTGGCGCCAAACCTGACGACCGTCTCGGTTGCTGCTTGATAGGAGAAAAGCAGAAGTATAGAGCAAAAGAAGTTGCTGATCACATACTACATGGCACTATGGAAAGCAGTAATACAGAGATCGACAGTACTGAGGTATCGGAGGATGAAAGTTGTGAAGAGCAAGACACATACATTTCGAAATATAGGCAGATATCCTCCTCGGAGGATGAATGTTCTGAAGAGGAAGAGACATACTTATCGAAAAATGGACAAATGCGCACCTCAGTTGATGAAAATTCTGAAGAGACATACATGTCGAAAAATAGGGAAATTTGCTGGTCTTCAAAAGTACTAGAACAAGAAGGTCCAGCAATGGTGCCAGCGCAGTGTGTATTGAAGAAAAGGCCTACTCCGGGGCCAACGAAATCATGCATTTCCCAAGCCCAGGATATAATGTCTACATTTAAGTTATTCATTCCAAAATCGATGGAGAAGATCATCATCGACAGGACAAATCTGGAAGGGAAAAGGAGATTTTCCAAAAACTGGCAAGAATTCACAGCGAGTGAATTCGATGCATTTATGGGTCTTTTAATTATGGCAGGGGGTGTTGAATCAGCTAGGGAATCCGCTATAAGTCTGTGGAACCAAAAAACGGGAAGGACGATTTTCCGGGCTACGATGACCAAAAAAAGATTTTGTGTGTTGTCTAATGTCATGCGGTTCGCCAATCCAGAGTCGAAAGTATTGAAGAAATCGACGGACAAGCTGGCTGCGTTCCGGGACGTATGGGACACGTGGTCAAGCAACCTTTCCATTATGTATAATCCCGGCCATGATATAACAATTGACGAGCACCAGGTTCCATTCAAAGGTAACTAATATATGTTCTTTATTATTGCTCTACATTAAATCTGTATTATTACTACAGTTTATACTGTTTTATTAACAAAAATCATTTTTTTATTAATATGTTTGATGTTCCTACTATATGTAGTACTTCTACTAATTAATGTACAAACACACATATTGTGCACCACAGGTTTTACTATTTATTTCATAAACTGCAGATTTTTTATTCTTGTTAGGCATTTGGAAAATTCGAAACTGACTGAAAATGAAAATATAGGTCAGATAAAACAGGATTTCTTTATAACATGAAAAGTGTATGTAACATGCATGTCTGGCATCTTAGTAACGGTCTGTTTGGTGAGGGCATCGTCAAATGTAGGCTGTCCTTTAAATTTTAACGAATATTTAACTGTTTCATCCCACGAAACAGAGCAGTAGTTAATTTCCCTTGTCAGTGTGTGAAACAACTTTTAACTGGTAGTGTACATTGTGTGTGTATATATATATCAATGTCGGATAAGAAGAGACTCCAGGGGGTCACTAGAACAGCAGAGAAGGTGATTGGCTGTCCACTCCCCTCCCTGGAATCCATTGCTAGCTCTAGGTGTCTCTCCAGGGCCAGGGCGATCATAAAAGACCACCTCCATCCTAACAACCACCTATTCAACATACTGCCCTCTGGTAAAAGGTTCAGATCCTTCAGGTGCAAAACCAACAGAGTAAAGAATAGCTTCTACCCGTGGGCAGTCAGAACTCTTAATGCACCAGATCACTAACATTACTCCTTCAATCCTCCCCTCACTGCTATCTTTTTAAGCTTATGGTGACCATAAGTATGTATGTGTGTATGGGTGTGGGTGTGTGCGTGTGCGTGTGCACGTGTTTGTGCAGTTTTCGTCCATACTCCATACTCACTGCTGCTACTGACCATGGCTCTGTGCAATATCTTGGCAAATATGCAATTACCAACCTACCCAATAGTGTCACTTATCTATGACAAAAGCCCTCCCCCCTTATTTATATTTATGACACCCTTGCATATACCCCCCAATGTCTCATGTACCTATACATTGTAAATACTGTGTTTCTTATTCTTATATCTTGTACTGACACTTTATTGCATCTTTGTGGTCTTGCTAGCTAATTTCGTTGTCCAGGCAACTGTACAATGACAATAAAAAGTCTTGAAGTCTTGAAGTTCATCTTCAATGAATCATAGTTAGTCATTTATTTCAAGCAGTTACTGTATTTGTTCATGATTTTTACTTGAATAGACATTGAATTAAAGTTACTAAAGAAATGATATTCTAATGTACTAACAAATTATTTGCCTAAAATCTTCTTCTAATTGCTTTATTTGACACCACTAAGTGTTCTCCGTTTGTCTTCTTGTAGGCAGGTGCCCGTTTCGGGAGAACATGCCACACATACCCAGCAAGTCCGACATCAAACTGTGGGCAGCGTGCGATTCAAGATCCAGCTATTGCTGGAAAGTCCAGGTCTACACAGGCAAGCCTCCGGGGGAAGAAACGGAAGAAAACCTTGCAAAACGCGTAGTGCTGGACTTGTCGAAGGGGCTGAAGGGGCAGAATGTTACCCTAGGTAGTTTTTTCACGTCTTTTGACCTGGGTCAAGAGCTGCTCAAAAAGAAACTGACTATGACAGGCGAAGTGCGCTGCAGTCGGCCGGAGCTGCCGTCTGACTTCCTCATAAGCAAGGGCAGGCGACTGCACAGCTCAAAATTCGGATTCTTCTCAAACACAACCATTGTGTCGTATCTGAAAAAAAGAACGAAGAACATGCTCCTTATGAGCACCTTCCACAAAAAGCCTCAAATCAGCGATCGCCTTGATCGAATGCCCCACATTGTAATCGATTACAATGAAAATAAAGGTGGAGTGGATACAATGAACAAATTGACTTCAGCGTATAGTACAATACAAAAAACAACGCACTGGACACTTGCACTCTTCTGTGACATGCTGGACATTGCCGCGCACAATGCCTGTGTAGTGTGGAATGAGATTAACCCTGAGTGGAAGACGGGAAAGAGATACAGACGCAAGCTGTTTCTGCAGGAGTTGGGTGAAGCCCTAGTAGCTCCTGCAATGCAGCAGCGGACAAGACTCATCAGACGCTTTGTAGGTGCCGGAGTGGCGATGGAGAGGAAAGACCTGCCAGCCCCACCGGCCCTGCCTGCCTCACAGGGCAAAGGAAGGAGTGGGTGTGTCCTTTGTGATAGTGGAAAGGCGAAACAAACAAGAGTGGTGTGCAATACGTGTGGCCATTTTGCTTGTAAGTCACATCATAATATCGTTTGTATGTGCTGTATAAAATATTGTTAGCAGGAAGGCTGCAACTATAGTGTATTCTGGGGAGGGATATCCCCCCGCCCCCCCCCAACCTTCAGATGTGCTCAAAATGTCCTCCCCAATATGTATGATAATTACCACCTTGGTGTCCCCACATTGTGGACTCCATGGTGACGGTCTTGGTTAGTAGTGTATGGTGCTATAGGTGTTGTGTAGAAGGTGGGGCAGTGGTGGCTTAATGGTTAGAGAAGCACACTTGTAATTGAAAGATTTCAGGTTCAAATCCCCGACCAGCAAGGAACCACTGAGATACCCTGAGCAAGGTACCGCCCCCAAGCACTGCTCCCCGGGCGCTGAATTAAGTGCCACCTTCTATGTCATGACGTCACATATGGGTTAAATGCAGAGGACACGTTTCGTGGTTGTGTGCTGTGCTGTGGTTTGTCAACACTGATCACTAAATTCGGTTTCTCTGAGAAAATATTTCATTCAGCTGTTGTGTAGGAATATTCTGTGTTCCTGTTTTGTGCTTAATTTTTTAATGATTTGTTTTCTTTTACTAGGTGAATTAATTGACTTCTGTTTTGATCTTTTTGAATTGTTGAAGTTCTATTTTGTTCATGTTTTAATAATAATAAAAATAATACATAATAAAAATCCTAATAAGATAATTATATTAATTGCAGCTATGGATCACAGTTCCTTGTTAAAAATAGATAATTTTTTCCCCCAGTGTTATTTGACTTTATTGATTTCTAAATGTGGAGTAAAACCTATTAAAGTGAATGTGGGTAAAGGTACAGAATGTATTACAGCTTTAAAAAAATTATGTTATTTGAAAGAGCTCATGTTTTTCGTAAGGTTCTGTCTCATTTGCACAAGGTGGCGTGTTTTGTTCATGATTGATTGATCACCACAGAAAGAATTCCATTCAGTCTCATTATATTCGAGAGGAGAGGGACAATTCTATGACCGAAATCTCAGAAACTCTGAATCTTATAGCAAAACAACTTAGGTGGATTACATTAAAGCCCATCCTCAGTTTTGAAGTGAGCTGCTTCTTTAAGTACACACTGAAGTTGCACAATAAGGAAGAGAGCTATTGTTCTTATATATTGCTTTGGATTTAGAGGAGTGCACATTTATAATAAACCGCAAACAAAAACGCATCTTATGGTTTGAGTGTTTTTGGGTCTTTCATGTCTATATTATGTTGCAGCTCAGCTGATTCTAAACATTATGTTTCCCAGTGGTGTGGTCTTTGTGAAGAACGTCTTTATGATTACCTCACTTTTTTTGGTTGTAGTCTTTAGTTATAGTGAGATATCTCCTGCTGATTTTATCCAACCATTTTTTCTCCTCCATGTCACTGGGGAACATGTACATTTGTACTCCTTTCTCTGTGTGACTGGGGCATCCCCATGCGGCACAGCAAACCATGGTAGAGGCAATATGCAAAGACAACATGAAGGAAAGTGTGCAGACAAACTGCTCGACCTGCTGTTCATCTTTCTGAGTCTGTGAAAGCCCCCCCCCGCAGCAGCAGTTTGGCCGTGTGTGCGTGTGACAGTGGTAGGGAGTGAGGATGTCCCCCCTTTTTTTCTTGTTTGAAGTTTGGGTTTTTCTCATGCACCTGTTATTTACATCCCCGTAGGTCATCCCGGTCAACTGTATGGGCCACACATCAAATTGGACATTTTGTCTTACAGTATATAACATGTTTTTTTTTTTTGTTTGAAGTTTTGGTTTTCTGATACAGCCGTTATTTATATCCCCATAGGTCACCCCCGGGTCAAACTGTAATTGGGCCACATCAAATTGGACATTTTGTCTTACAGTATATAACATGTTTTTTTTTTGTTTGAAGTTTTGGTTTTTCTGATACAGCCGTTATTTATATCCCGGTAGGTCATCCCAGGTCGAGCGTATCGAAAGACCTGAATCAGCAGGTATGGACGGAGCAACACCCCCTCATATACCCGAAGCCTTATTAGATGAAATAGACAACATCAACAACACTAATAATGAAAATGATGCGGTTTATCAAAACTACTTTGCTCAACACGACTCGCCACCCGCAATGTCTGGTGAAGCCAGGGTCGAAGAGCCCTGTTTCCTACCATCCTTAGAGACATTAATAAGCATGTTAAACGAAAGGGTCTCTGAATCAGCAGGCATGGACGGAGCAACACCCCCTCCTATACACGAAGCCTTAATAGATGAAATAGAGAACATCAACAACGCTAATAATGAAAATGATGCGGTTTATCAAAACTACTTTGCTCAACATGACTCCCCACCGGCAATGTCTAGTGAAGCGAGGGTCAAAGACCCCTGTTGCCTCCTAGATGCATTAGACAGCATTATGACCCCTTGATGGAGTTTGATCAGGGTCATATTGTGGGTTTGCATGAGGCTGGGTGGTCATATCTTGCAATTGCCCAGCATGTGGGGCATGCAGATGTCATAGTTGCCCGATGATGGAACCATTGGGCACGTGAGGGCACCCACACAGGTTGTGAAGGTTCTGGTCAACCAAGACAGACCACACCAAGAGAGGATCGTTGTATTGTGCACCAAGCATTACAGAATCCCATGCCATCTACGCCTGCCATCTGGACATAGGTATTGGACTCTACAACGGCTGAATTTGGAGTGGTGCCGTAACCGGGAGGCCTGGACTGATGATGAGTGGCGTCGTACCATGTTCAGCAATAAATCTCGGTTCTGCATCTGTGTGTATGGTGGTGCCGAGGGGAAAGGACCAATCCTGCCAATGTTGTGGAGAGACAGTTATATTAGCAGCTTCTGTCAAATCCCATTGCTAGAATTTAGTAAAAAGACGAACATGTTGAACAATTTTGGTCAGCTAAACTAATTCGGCTTACAGACAACGGCATTTGTGCTGCTGTGTGCTGACCACATTCATGAGGTTAGGAATCTGCCTGTTTTCAAGCAAAGGCCAAAAGACATTGTAAAATTAAACTTAAACTATGTGAATGGAGGTAGTGCACAGGTGTTCTAACGAAACATCCTACCCATCGAAATGATCAACTCACTGCTACTACGCATGCGCAGATCAAAATTTCGCGAATCTTCTGGAAGCTTACCAACTGCTTGTCGATCTATCCTACCTAGTGCTGAAGTTTGAGGTAAGTGTTACTGTATTTCAGTAATATGTATGCTT